AATGTATGTTACAGCTCCCTCCCTCTCATGGGATGCTCTTTTGCTTAAGACAGGTGTGCGGCTGGAGTTGATGACGGACATATACAAGTACTGTTTTGTGTAATGTGGGGCTAGGGGCGGTATTGCACCGGTTTCCTGAAGGCATGTAGAAGCCAACAACGTTTACGTGTGGCCGAGAAATTAATTTGTCACATCGATGTAAATGCTGTGTACTGTCACACTATGTATTGCAAGCTATCCATTGGTAATTTTAAATGAGTTGAGACAGACATGTTTTCAATTTGGATTTTTGCCAACATGGACAACGATGGGGACATTTTTTTTTTTTTTTTTTTTTTTTGCAAAAGTAGATTTGTTTTCTCAGGATTAATGTCACCATGCGCTATCTGATCTGCCTCTTTCCCCATTAACTGGCTTACCTCCTAATGGTAAAACTGAGAAATTGCTATTAACTCTTGCGCTGCAGAAAAATAACATTACACGCAGGAAAACACCGAAGCACTACTAAATGTATGGCGCCAAACTCGATGCTGTTCATTGCGTACTGCACATTGCATAGAATGTGTGGATGGCTCAGTACAGCATGTTCAATATTGAGAAATGTTCTCAGGTTGCGAATGCATTCGAGATATCATTTTTATACTCATGAACAATTCCATCTATGGTAAAACTTTGTAGAATATCCGCCGAGAACAGGACATAAGAGTTGTGTCGTGGTATGAGACAATTTATGGGGCAGCAGAACTGATTGGGCGACCTACTTTCAAGACAAGACAGACATCAATGAAAATCTAGTCCTGATTGAAATGGAGAAGATCTCTGTTAAGTTTAACAAGTATTTATGTACTGGTGTTGCTGTTTTAGATTTGTCCAAATTATTTTATATGATTTCCACTATAACTATGTGCTGTAAAAATTTCCCAGCCTGCTTTGCATCTCCTCTACTGCGACATGGATTCTCTCATTTATGAAATACTCTGCCACTATGAGTATGAAGGTATTTTCCCTGATTTGGTTACACAATTTGACACCTCTAACTATGCACCAGATAATCTGAAAAATTCCCGGTGGGGAACAGAGGCATTAGAGGATTTATGAAGAACGAATGTACTGGCCGCATTATCACACACTTTGTAAGACTACATCCTAAACTTTAAACATACACTGTTTTGAACCAGTGTGGCGTAAAGCGAAGGACCTGAATCCTAACGCATTGCTGTCTCTCCTATACAAGGATTATTTGGGATGCCTCATTCAAAATTCAGGATTATGGGAACCCAATTTCATTTCCTTTTGTGTGCCCACGGTATCTTCACTGAACGTGTGACCAAGGTTGCGTTGTCAACTAATGACGACAAACACTATGCCGTGGCGGATAATGTGTCGACATTACCTTGGGGGCAATATAAAATCCCACACTAAATTATCCTACCCACCAACATTGTCACCTGCCAACCACAACATCTGCCAGCCGCATCAACAGCTACCAGGCACATCAACATATGTTTGCCATCCACAGCATCTGTCAATATCTGACGCATTGGCATATCCACAGCTAAACCACATTCTATAAGCATCTCCAACTAACTTCAATAATAAAGTCAACATCGGAGGAAAACACCATCCCCGGTGTGAGATCAGATTTACTGCACAACTACGTGCCATGCACCAGTATCACCAGCTGCGAGGTCAGTGTTACTCGCTCGTCACACATCTTTCTGCTACTTCAAATCATCGTCTAGGTTAAATCTGCAGCTAAACAACCTCTAAAAACATCATTCTGCTGCGAGGTTAGTGTTACTGCTTCGCCATCCACCGACTTCATAGCTACCATCCCCTTTCAATTGGGGGGGGGGGGGATGAATGGAGAGTCCCTGCGAGACTGCACCTCCAGCTGTGAGGGTTGACCACCAACATGGAAGGGGACTTGCTCTCCATCAACCTGCTAGATGTTGCACGTAAAGAAGAAAAGTGATGCCTCGTGTGTGTGTAAATAACAAGAAGAGACACCAAGGAATGTGTGCATGTGTAAAAGAATAGTAATAGAAGTGAAAGAATATGTGTGTAAATTTTTTTTTTTTTTTTTTTTTTTTTTTTTTGTAAATTAAGTGTTTAAGAAGAATGTGTTTGGATATAGAATGTTAAATTTTTTTGTGTTTGTAAATAATGGTTGTTGTGTGTGTCCAATTGATATGTAAATATTGGTGTGTTTAGTAAAATTAGTTATGTCAATTCAATTGGTGTGTTTTTATTTACCTTAAATTATATATTGCAACATCGGGAACACATAAAATACTTATGCGAGAAAAACATAACTGCCAATTACACAAATGTTTGGGGATAAATAATGTGTGCTAACCAACGTCTATCACTCTTTTCTTATAATGGAAAATGTGTTTTTTAAGTAACATGTTTCGAGGAGATGAAGAATGATTACAAAAGTGACAAAAAGTGTGATAATTATTAACAGGGGGGTTACACACAGAATGTTTAAACGAGAAAAGAATACCTGCCACTTACACAATTTGGGGAGAATTTTTAACACTAAATAATAATTTACTGAAATAAATTTTAACTAAGCAATAAAGTTGTGAGAAGTTGGAATATGGTTACATGAGAAAAATGTAACTAACATCTAAGTACAAGTTTGCTTATAATTTTTTTAACCAAACATAAGAGGAAATGATACAACATAACACCAGGCTTTCCATGTAGTAGGCTAGAGAGAATTTACGATTTCCGTTGGTGAATATTCCCAGAGGATGAGTGAAGAGTTCACATCTGCATGGATTACCAGTGGCAGAGAGAGAGAGAGAGAGAGAGAGAGAGAGAGAGAGAGCAGTTCCTGAGGTTGCGCCCCATGCGACGGCATGGCAACTTACTCTCACTCCGTTGCCAGGAGCGGCACGAGACATGAGTAGCCGTAGTCGCGTGAGAGACTGAGCTCCCATGCGGTGTCACCTCAAGCGGCGGCATGGCGAACTGCTCAGTCCGCGGCCAGGGAGCGGGTGATGTCTTATGCACCAGGTTGTTGGTGCTTGGCAGGAACACCGTTCCAACATGGTGGGGGATATAACCTAAAGATATTGTAAATCTCAGCTCAGTCGCGAGTGGGCAGTGCTACAGAGCGGATGTGTAAGTAGTGTGTAATTACATGTACGTATTTATTAGACATACTTGTATATTTATTCGTTATTCGATTATTCTTGGTACTCATTACATGTACTTGCATACGTAGTCATTACTCATTACATTTAATTACACAATTAAACATTATGCATAATTAGAAATTGTGCAAATACTCTCGGCACTTAGTCGTTACACAATTTAAAAGTCCAATTACATGTATTTACCCTTGTTGGGTGTCGAACCAACGACTATCTCCCTATCCTAATCCCAGCATACTAACCATCGAACCTCCTCCCTTGTGGTTCGGCATGGAAGTGTCAACACGTGCACTTACTCTCATTATGTAATTGCTAATTATGCGACTGTGATATCAGTAACTATGCAATTACATGTAACTGCTCTCGGCAGGTCTCGAACCAAGGACTGCCCAACTCTACGCACCGGTCGCTACAGCTCCGATTTGGCAGTGGCCCATCTGACGAAATGTCGGTAAACGAGGTCCTTAAATCTCTGGTAATACACAGTCACCAACAGCCAATCACAGCACACCATTCAGGGTTGGGGATGAGATGGAGGATGGGCACAACCCATCAGCCAATCACAGCACACCTCCATGGAAAGGGGGATGGAGGGAGGGAGACGGGAGGGGAGCTTAAACCCATCAGCCAATCACAACACACCTACAAAAAGGAGGGGGTTGGGGAAAACACCCTATCACAAAATTAATTAAATGGCACTTAGGCCACTTTTAAAGTTTTTGGGTCGCCGGAGCTGTGTGCTACCCCTACTACCATTCATCGAACTATTCCAACCTTTTGATGGTCAGTCTTGCAAAATCTGTAATATCTTAAATTTGTATTAACTTTTCATTATATTTCTTACATCAAAATTTTCACCTTCTGTTCTTGCTAGCTTCCTTTTCAGCTCGATTCTTATATCTTCAATTTTAGGACACACTTAAACCACATGCTGGACATCATTTTCTGTTCCACAAATTACATAGGGATTCCACCAAATTGAACTTGTGTAATTTTGCCTTGAAGTTCCTATGTCATGACAACAGCTGTGACAGGTAATGATTTGTTGCAATCCAGGGGTAATTAAGTCTTTCTTCTGCAACAGGATATATATTATATGTGATTCTGTCTTTGTCAGAATGTTCCAATCTCTCCTGTCAAAGAAGTACTGTTTCTTCTCTCTTCTCCTTCTTCAACTGGGGTGATGCTTTTCTACCTTCGCTGACTTCATTTGTCTCACCTCTTTCTTTAATCAGAAGGTCCAGATAGCCTCAGCTACCCCTTGAAGAGCATCTGTGGATGTTCTTCTATATGCCTTCGTAGCTGCCAACAGTGCTGCTCTCTGTGTTTTTTAAATTATATTTATATCTGTACCTGTAATACTGTTCTGTGCCACACTGCTGCTAAATATATGGCAATTGCTGTGAAGACACCTTCATATAGTGTCATCATAGTTTTGAAGCCAAGTCCCACGGAGATGGTAGACATCGATTTTATTTTGCTGTAGATTAATACGGCTTTATCCAATGAGTAACTGATGTGGTCGTGGAATCATAATTTACTATCCATAGCCAAACCAATATACTTGACCTTGTCTTTCAGCTTGATGAGCCTTCCTTGAAATCTTATAATCGGTGCTCTCTTGAGATTACCCTTCATAATTATTGCATTTGTCTTGTCCACTGCAAAGTTAGGTTTCACTCACTCAGTGAGTAGGGAAGGAAGCAGCCAGCGCAAGATTGTACCAAATTATTCCCACCAAACCTCATAAAAGGATATAACAAAACAAATGAAATCAACAATATAACAGGGATGTCACTCAATTATACACATAAGCCTTTTGCAGTATCGTGTATTTCCATGGTGTAGTGGTTATCACATCCGCCTGACACGCGGAAAGTCCTTGGTTTGACCCCAGCCGGAAATACGAAAATTTTTTAACATTCTCCGTAAGTTGATCTCTCAAGAAACCTTTTTGAAAGGCATTTTTTTAGAACGCTACGACTACGGGCGGGGTAAAATTGAGCCGTATGCGGATTTTAATAATTGACTAATTTTGGTATTTGCAAGATGTAATCTGTTTTCGCCGATATTATTTTTCACTGATATATTTTGTATGTTAATCAGTATGTAATTTTACTGTTCGTTAAAATTTATATTTTTATTTTACCATAAACACATCTATGACTTTCCAGTCTTTTATATTTGTAATATATTTAGAAGGTCCTAGTATTCCAGCAGAAAATGATTCGATGCCATGGTAACTAAGTGACGTGATGAGTAATGCCGCTAGCACTCTCATTATTGGTCAGTTTTAGACGACGTTATTTAATTATGTGTTACAAATGAATTTTCTAACCATCTTGGTATTCGAAGGCAGGGCGCTAGCCCCCGTGGGTTTAGCATGCAGAATTTTAATTTAGTTTATACTATAAGGACCCGAGTTCGAAAACAGGCCGTCTCTAAGGAGACGAAGGCGCGAGGCAAGTTCTAGGAAGAAGCAGGCCTGCATCGGTCGCCGCCCGTGTATATTTTCTCGGTAATTAGAACTACCGTGTGTAATAAAACGTGCAGGGACTGATAGCTCTACAGGCCCAATAGTATTATAAAATAGAGAGATATGGGCCACCAGGCGTCAGGCTGGAGACACAGGGGGACAAAAATACCTCCTATGGTTATCGTCAAAATTACCTTTTTTCCATTTTTCCCGTACAAAACGATCGATTTCGCGTAAAACACGCCATTTTTCCCACTTTCCCCCCAAAAATTCCCGAATTTTCCTCCCGCCAATGGCGACCATCTTGGCAGCCAGTGCCGGAAAGTGCCTTTTGCACAATGCAGAGGCAGTTTATCCAATGTGGATGAGGTCTGCCCAATGTCGATGAATCGTGTGGAAATTGAGAAATTCCTACAAGATTGAGAAATCATCTCTGGTGGCCATCTTGGTGTCGATTACCTATGTCTACTCAGGACGATTGGCGACCAGCGGAGGATGTCGACCATTTTGGTGGCCAGCAGCAGGCATCAGGTCGTCGCGAATGTTCATTTCGGATTTCGTACAACACTGCCCCCTCCTGAAGTCTGAGTGTGCATAACACTTATAAGCATAGTTGGCAATAATTTCTGAACTGTGTAAGTTATAGTTGCCAAATTCATAACATAGACATCAACCACGACTATGAGAAGGGTCGCGGGATCACGTATGCCTGTGTCAACTTATAAGAAAAGTTGTATGTAATTTCCGAACCATTTCAATTATAGTTACTAGATTCATAATGTAGATATCAACCACGACCATGAGAAGGGTTGCGGGGTCAAGTATGCCCTATGTCAACTTATAAGCATAGTTGGCTGTAGTTTCCGAACCATTTAAGTTAAATATGTCAAAACCATAACATAGGCATAAATTGTAGATTTAGGGTCATCCTGACAGCACTTCCTACTCTAACATTCCGGTCGGTGGTCACTGGGTGCTCACAACCAATATTAGTAGAATAGTTTTTTTGTTTGTTTTCCTTCCTTCCTTCCTTCCTATCAAAAGTGTGCATTTCCTGTTAATACATTCAGTGTGAAGGGAGAGACCCCATTCCAAGACACCTTGCCAGCCTCGTATAAAGTACGACCTATGCTTGAATATAAGCATATATGGCTGAAATTTCCGAAGCATTTGAGATACAAGTACCAAAACCATAACACGTGCATAACCCCTAATGACGAGAAGGGACACGTGTGCATATGTAAGCCTGCATGCCTCCCCGTTCTTACTTACCTCTCTCTCTCTCTCATGCCCCCTCGGCACCACCACCTGGCCACACTTCCTCGCACGTTCTTCCTCGCCACCTCCACCTACCACCTTCCACACGTCCTCGAGCTCTGTATCTGTTGTCCTCCCCCTCTGCCTGGCCCCATCACCCCTGGTCATACTTCTCCGTGCACTCCAACCCATGTCCGGCACCTGGCTAAGCTGCAGCGATGTCGTCGCGCACGTCGTCGATCCTCCGAACACCCACGTAACAGAGAGCAGACGCCCTTTCCGACCCTCGTGCTCAGGATTACCGCCCACATGTGGTCAAATATTCCCTATGTCGACTTATTAGCATAGATGGCTGTATGTTCCGAACGACATAAGATATAGTTGCCATATTCATAACATATGCATCGCCTAGGTTTTTTCCTTACTACCATGCTACTACTACAAGATGTCCTACTTGACCACCATCGTGCAGCCCCACTGATTGCCAAACATCGATACTTCGATGTATGTAATGAGATGTCACAATGAATATGCAGTCATCGCTAGACAGCCCAATCCCCGCACATACATCAACATATTCTAAAATTATAAGCTTCTTCTTAATACTATTATGAAACAAATTATCCCCTACCTTAACTGGTGTAGCAGTGAATACCCATGACCAAGAGCACATCTCACTGTCGTCGACATGACCTCGCTGGAAGTGGAGAACACAATGACCAGTCCCACCTTTCTGTGCAAGTTAGATGCCTAGCAAGTACTGCATTCCCACCACCTCCCCTTGTCAATGCACTTACCGGTATTGAAAGGAACTTATGCATGTACCCTGATCCATCCTTGAGGTATCTCAGGTTCGATTCCCATAGAGAGTGGAATACAAGTCGATATAAAAGCTGCAATTTGGTATACAACAGTGTTCGTAATTACAGACAGTCCCTGACCTGCACCTGCGTACAAAGCCCAACACACACACACACACACACACACAGGTTGTAGTAAATCCAATTTTTTTATCTCCGACCTGAACATGTGTACCGAAGCATGGGTCAAATGACCCCCTTACGAACCAACTGAAATTAAACCATCACTTACTCGCTTACGACCAGACTGTGGCCTACACACTCGTATACCTAAGCATGTAATTACAGTCATACCTTGTATCGAACCTTCAATGTACAACAGTCATACTCCAACCCGCACTTGCGTACTGAACCTTCAATGCATGCAGCTAGTATGTATCCCCACAACAACTGAGGACTGACCTGCACATGTCGTGTACCGAGACTTCAATGTAAATCACATACTCATCCATCTATGATGCTAGACAACAGAATGCAATCGAATTAAACACGGTGAGTAAGGAGATATCACACACACACATATTTCAACTATGTATGCACTCTGTTTGTAGACCAGAAGACCTGTAGGTCGCTACATGAACTCACTGTAAGCTCAGAGCACAATGATCGCTCTGTCTTTCCATGTATGGTAAACATTACCAACCAAGAAAGTACATCACAACCACTCTGTGTCAAAAAACGCATGTACCTGAAAGTAATTATTGCATGTAGCCTGACGACTATGGTGTATGGACCTTGAAAAAAATTAAGTATCACGGGTTCCATTTCCGTTGAGAGTGCATGCTGGCATGCCTGCAGACTATTGTTCGTCGTCGGTCCCACTGCCCATGAAGATGAGCATGTAGTGGCCTTGACAGTCATACTCCATCTCCGACTTGAACTCGGGTACCGAACCATTACAATTACAGACATTTATACTCTGACAACCCTACCTGCACTCATGTACTGTTTTTTATATATTCAGTCATATAATAGTTTCCTGTAAAGGGACCATTCCTTAGCCACATGATACTAGTAGTGGTCAATCGTCATCATTGCATGATCCAGCCCAAGTGGTGGACCACCAAATCGAAGGGAAGGTTCGAGCTGAGAAAGAGAGAGAGGAATGCATCAGGACTCCAGTCCAACCAAGTCGCACACACTTACCATCAAGCATCGGGTGCTATGACACGACATAGCCGAACCGACTAAAATATTCTAGCAAATATAGATAATCACACTCCTGTACTGGACCTTCAATGTGCATACCTACAGACAATCATACACTGCACTGGCAATTTTACTCTCTCTCTCTCTCTCTCTCTCTCTCTCTCTCTCTCTCTCTCTCTCTCTCTCTCTCCAACCTACACTCGCACCTTCAACCGCTAGTCTGTAACCCGCACCACCACAGGGGACCGGTCTGCACCCACAGCACCCGTGTACCAAGACCTCGGTGTGTGTAATGAAGGACAGTAATACACTATTTCACATCCGTTCGCACTGTATCGGTGGTGCTAGACCGTCCTGGGCACAACATATTCCGTACGAACCGAGTGAGACGAAACTGGCCAACACTATCAGCAGAATGCATCCCACCATCCCACAAGCAATGTGAGAATCTGTAAGGCTGAGTTCGACCGAGAGCACAGGCAAGTCGAAGGATGGTACTAGCAGAGATTTATATATATATATATATATATATATATATATATATATATATATATATATATATATATATATATATATATATATATATTCACTCGATTGACAATATATATGCCAATCGAGTGAATGCCCTATTTACGGTAGGAATTCATTACATAGTACCAGAACCATAAGCACATATGAAAGCAACATGCACCATTAGACATACAAGAGAGACAACACCACAGGAGCAAATAGTACATGTACTTATTACGAAACAAATTAGCCATGACAAGTAAGGGGGAGGATATATCACAACACACACACACTTATGTCAACTATGTGTGTACTATGCTCTTAGAAGGTACAGAGCAGAGGTTTTAACTTAATGAGTAGCTGTTTCAGAAGATCTGCAGGTCACGAGCACATATCATCGTCGTGAACTCACTGGAAGCAATGACCGCCCTGCCTTTCCGTACACACAATACATTACAGATTACATGTTCGCCAGCAGACAATCATTCTTCGGAGGGAAGCAAGGCCCCGCTGCCAAAACATTACGAAGAGCCATCATCTACAAGCCCTAGCCATATGATGCAGGCGAAGTGTGTGCTTTGTATGCACACAGCAGGAAGTGTTCGAATGAAGACTTAAAGTTGATCGTGTACGAGTATAAAGAGGCCAACTTCA